GCACTAAAATTTACGAGTCCACGAAACACATCAGGGTTGTCCTTGTGTCCGCGAAGTGCTAATTCGAAAGCTCCGCAAAATTTTATGCAATCTATGATTTTAGATTATACATAACGATTTTTCGTTACCTGTTCATTGTGTTTTCGTATATTATCCCAATATGCAGAATCTAACTGACTTCTTATGTTTATTTTACCTAATGACTTAAATCACTTAAATCTTTCACACTGTATATTGTCCATGCTTTATCCCCACCGAAAAGTAAGCATGGAAAACAAAACAGTGTATTTTTTATATCACCCGCACACCCACCCTGTTTTTGTGTATACATTATTGTTAAATTGTCTTTTATAACTTTTACAACGGCTTGTTCCACTAACTTCAATATTTAATTGTGGTGTTGGCCTACCTAATTCTTTTATTTTTAGTTTATCCTCATAAGGCAGAGAACCAAGTAAAGTTTTTTGTAAAAACGAAACGCTATTCATTTTAATAACTATAATATCGGTAGACGCCTAAACGAAAATATTCACACATGCCGCTCGCAGAAATAAACCACCACACCACGTACGAAATATTACTGCATTTACTTTACTTCAGCAGTGGCTGAATGTTGTTGCAGCCACATAAGCCCATATAAAAGTGTACTGAGTCACGTGCCTGATTAGCCAATAAAAACAAACGACGCATCTAACTGTTCGCTGTGCACACATTTTGTATATGAGGTTGCATATGTTAAGGAGCGTCGTAATAAATAATAATATAAGCTCCTACATTTATTTTAGCGCGAATACATTTGGATTCTTTAAATATTTTGTTGATATTTAATATGATTAAATACATAAAATTTTATGTGTTCTGCAGCTCCGCAGCTCTTATGGTAAAACCGTCACTGGTGGTACATACCATTTTAGTTTTCTGCATAAACTGAATAATATGATGACAACTGGTGAATCAGACAACACTCTTTTTGATTTTGTTATAAACCATTCTTACTTCTAATACTAATTACTTTTGGCTTCAATAAATCATCAACTTGCAGTGTGACTTGGATCTGTAATTCATCGAAACATCCATTTTATAATTCGTAATTTTGTATGCCACAAATATTATTTTTCATTTTTTGTAAGAGTTTTTAGGTATACCTCTTATTTTCTTATTTTTCATGTCTTTTCTTGTCTATTTGTATAATACAGATATCGTTATTAACTGTATATAGGTATACAGGGTGTCCTGAAATTCATGCAACGAAATTTGGTCACAGATTCTTAAGACAAATTTAGGGGACCCGTACTTTTTATTTTTGCCAAGTGGCCCCCTCTTTCGGAGTTACAGCCTCCTGAAGTCCGCCCATAAGAATAATCTTTTTTTTTAATCTGATGGTGCTACTTTTTTGGCGGGGAACCCCCTTAAGACAATTTTTCGTGGGTCCCCTTGTCTTTGGAGCCAAAAAAGTTTGGTCGCATATTTAAATTTCTTAAAAATTATCCGTCCACTAGGAAGACATTAAATTTAGAAACTTTTTGTCACTTTATACTTTTTTCGTAAAACGCAATGTTTTCGAGAAAAATGTCAAAATGTGATCGAATGCATATCGTGATTCGCCATTTACCTCAAAAACATTGCGTTTTAAGAAACAAATATCAAGAGACAAAAAAGTTTCTAAATTCAATGGCTTTCTAGCTAACTAATAATTTAAAAAAAAATCAAATTTGCGATCAAATTCCAAAGACAAGGGGGCCACAAAAAAGTGTCTTAAGGGGGTTTCTCGACAAAAAGCGTAGCACTGTGAGATTCCACATGTCATAAAACCCCTGTGTACCAAATTTAGTGATTCTCGTACAACATCGATTTGAGATATAAAAATGACTTCTTAGGGGCAGACTTCAGGGGGCTGTAATTCCAAAAGAGGGGCCCTGTTGGCAAAAAGAAACAATACGGGTCTCCTAAATTTGTCTTAAGAATTTATTCTAATTATTTATAACTACTACTATTTTTAGTATAATACAATATATGTTTAATAATAATAATAATAATAATGCCCTCGTCAATAACAAAAATTCTGCAGTGTTAGGGCTTTCAAATTTTTATTGTACTTTCCAATCATCTCCGTATTTTCTAAAGTCGATCGAATCTATCCAATAAGTTTATTATGAAGCATTAGACCTTTAAACTGATACAGATTGAAAAGAAACATTTTATTTTATTATAATCAACCCACAAATTTAAGCGAGATTTTGAAGAGTTTTGGTTACTCAACATTTGCTGTGCAAATCTATTTGTGTCCTGAAGAATAACTATTTCATCCTCTGATAGGAATAACTGATACACATGTGAAGGATTTTTGAGATATTTAACTGTCATTCATTCATATTTATCGTTGTCAAGTATACAGCATACAGAAAAATATACTATCTACTAAACATTTCAAAATAATCTTTACTACTTTTGTTGGCAGCATCCAGAGGAGGGATACAAACACCACCACCATATGTTCCTCCCCAGACCCAATGGTATGCTGCTCCACCACCAGCTTATGCTCCACCACCACAAGGTATATATTAATACTATTGATACTAAATTGTAAATTAAATTAAATTATGGAGTTTATTATAGAGTTCAGGGGACGTTGCTCCTTACAGAATTGTACTTGGGTTCCTCTCTCAGGCCAGTTTTCATTTATGTTGTTTATTAGACATTAATATGTTTGCATATGTGAAAAAAGTCACTATACACTGAGCTCGTAAAGTTTGGAATAAATTCGATAAATCATTATTGAAGGGTTTTGACAGGAAATCCTCGGACACGTCAACTTTAGTTTATAAAATGTCACTTTTTTCAGCCATCGACTTTTTTTTGTTTTGTTTGTTTTTGAGCTATGACGTCATCGACAATTTTTTTAAATGGCAACCCATATTTTTTTCCACCGATAGAGCACATTTTTCTGAGTACGAATATGTCAAAAACGTATGACCTTCAAAATGGAAGTTTTCGAAATATTCGGTTTCAAAGTTTCAAGAATGCATTATACAAGCGATGACAAAATACTAATCATTTATCAAGGAAGCGCTGGAAAAATTACAGTTTTGATAGTTGAAGTTTGTTCTCGCAAGTTTGTGTTTTAAACTGTCTATTATCTCGAAAACTTCCATCTTGAAGGTCGTACGTTTTTGACATAATATTCATGCTCCGTAACTGATCATAAAAATTTCGATTCTTTCCCTTTCACTCAAACGACGGACCATTTTCAAATAAAATGAATTCTGATAGAATAATGATTAATCAACTTAAAATAAAACACAAACTTGCGAGGACAAACTTCAACTATCAAAACTGTAATTTTTCCAGCGCTTCCTTGATAAATGATTAGTATTTTGTCATCGCTTGTATAATGCATTCTTGAAACTTTGGAACCGAATATCTCGAAAACTTCCATCTTGAAGGTCATACGTTTCTGACATATTCGTACTCAGAAAAATGTGCTCTATCGAAATCCGTGGAAAAAAATATGGGCTGCCATTTAAAAAAATTGCCGATGACGTCATACATCAAAAACAAACGAAACAAAATAAAAGTCGATGGCTGAAAAAAGTGACATTTTATAAACTAAAGTTGACGTGTCCGAGGATTTCCTGTCAAAACCCTTCAATAACGATTTTTCGAATTTATTCCAAACTTTACGAGCTCTG